CGGTGTTCCATTGTATGGTATATGCTGTAATGTTTTTTAACCAGATCGGATGGACGCATAAGTTGTGTAAGTTTTCCACGGGTCATCAACTGTGCTGTCATGAACATCCTCACACATCCATCTGTGCACATGCGCATCGATATCAAGAGGACACATTCCCAGAACTGGAGTTCCTGGATCAAGAAGTCTGTGCAGTTTAGATTCTGCTATGTGTCCAGTTTCATTCACTCCGCTGTGACTGTACCAAAATATTACTGGCATTTTGCTGTGTGGACACTGGATCCAGGAGCCCCGCTACCCTGGTATTGCCCCCTTGGGGCTTTTAATGATCAAAAAGCTCCTCTCGCCACATCCCGACCCAGGACTACTGCCCTCTTGCTCCCCCCCACCCCACCCTTTAGTTCAAGAAAGAATAAACACCATTCAAAAGCCTTCGTCTTCTTGGACATTTTAATGTTCATTGGGTGTAACCATTGTTCAAAAGCCTTGGCTCTGTGAATGTCTTATGAAAAACTGAAGTGTGCTTTTAGATTACACTAGGAAAAGGCAGTGTTTTAGTGTCCTAAGAACATATTCTGAAATATTACTTCCAGATACAGCCAGAGCTTTGGGATGGTCATGCAGCTCATATGTTTGAGCCACCTGGATCTCGTCCATGGCCAAATTTTTGTACTTAGATCTGCATTGCAACTCAGGCAGTAGTCCAATCAGGTTCATTGCTGTTTCTGCAAAAGCCCCTAGAAGATGTGGTGGTCTCTTTACAACTCCGAGTTGGAGATTAAATTCGTATTTAATGATAGAAGGTGAAATCTTAATTTTTTTTGAATAGTGCTTAGTGGCTGTTTGACTTATGAGAAATGATCTATCATGCTAATTGCTTGCGATTTTGTTTTTGGAACCTACTGAAAGAGGTGATATAGGTGAAGTCTTTGCTGCTAAGCTAACCAAGGGGTGGGGAGCAGTTCTGAAAATGGGAGCAAGTTTCAGACAAACAAACAAAATCCTGATTAGCTTCACATCAAAATTAGAACAGATCACCTTTACTTCTCTTTAGCTGTCCCATTTGGTTTCCTTCCATAGATAGCGATTTTTTTCCTAGGCTTAGGCAACACGTTGAAACATTTTCTCACTTCAGAGTATGGAAAATGTGATGAACCACTAAGCTAACGTCTGCATACTAAACCCAACTTTAAAACGTGCTTGCAAAACCGTGGCTATAGTTTTATGATGGGGATAACCGTGACCATGACCAAATAGGAGATCCAATAAACATTTCACCTCAAAAGGAACATTCCCGAAGAGGTGGATATAGTTGAAATATCTATTGGATTGCACCACAAGCCTAGACAAGCTGCTGATTGTCTAATGTCAGGCAAGTCAGTGTACAGTTGAAGCTAAAAGCCTGTTCCGTTAAACCCCAGTTCATCTTTACCGGGGCAATTTCTCAGGAGCTCAGTGAAAGGAGACTCCATAAAATATGTACCTAACAAAGCATGTCAGCAGCTTGAATGGAGCAAACCAGTCCAGATCTGAGAATTCTAATAAATAAATGAAGTTGAGCATTTATTGCCAACAATCATGTCACTGGGGCCACAGAAAGCTGGAGCCGTGCAGCTGGGAGGCGGGAGTGTGGAGCCAGAGAAGGTAATGGAACGCACCCAGGTTTGATTATTTATGGCGTGCTGATGAAGAGACAACTTTCCATATGAGGAACAGCTTAGCGGAGGCTCCGTCAAGCTAAACCAGGAAGAGGTCCAGAGAAAGAGAGCGAAACAAAGGAGGACATGAATAAAAATGACAGCTAATAAAACAATACAAATCTAAAATGCTGTAACTTTCAGAAATAATTTAGGGCCAAAAGAAAAGAAAAAAGTCCCGTTTTGCTGGCTCTGGGACAATTTTCCAAGAAGCAAAAGACATTAAGCAAAATGAGTGTGCTTAATTTAAGACTGAATTTGCCTCCATGCCCTCCCAGCTGTGAGTTCGGTTGCTCCTAAAGCTGGCTTTATTCATGAGAAGGCAAGCGGCAGTTCTGTTTGCGTTTAGCTAGTGTATCCACTTTTTTTTCAACAAATATTGATTGTACATTATTCCAATGTCAGGTGCTGGGCCCTTTGGGGCTACATGCTGAACAGACACAATCCCTGCCTTCAAGAGGCTTACGGTCTGGCGCTGGAAGTGGACAAGTCCACTGTCAAGTTCAAAACCCTGGTGGTGCCAGCTAGATCAGGGCCAGGGAGGGGCAGCCACCGGGAGACAAACGAGGCCCAGAGTGGAGCCTGGAATGAAAATGACTTCGTGAATTCTGCTTTCTGTATTGATTAGGTAAATCCTCGGCAAGCCTCCATGCAATCCAGATCCTGGCTTGATTACCGAAAAAAAAAAAAACACATTTTATGCAAAGATGCGCATTTCTATGGTTCTGAGTTTTCATTTTTGAATTCTGGACCTGAGGCCTACCTGAGCTGTTTGAAATGGTCTTTCTATGGTGTAACATACCTCTTCTCCAAGGCTGGCCAGAAGCACAATGGGTATCAGCCCCCAGTTCCTGCGAGGCCCAAGTGTGCCAGAAGTTTCCTTTGGGTCTCCTTGGCCCTTCACCACAGTGCCTTGAGGCAGGAGCATCCCTTCCATTCTACAGGTGAGGGGATGGAGCCTTGGACAGGTCACCTCTCACGGTCACATGGAGGGAGCAGCGCATTTCTACACCATCCTGCCTTTGGGTCAAGGATGTAGGTTGGGACTGCGCCAGTAACACGCCTGTGCCCAAGGCAAGCTTATCAATGAAGACCCATTAGCTCATCAATCTGAGCTGTTCCCAGAGTCACTTTAGCTGGCGGACTCTCTTTTCTTCCGGGGGCCCCCCTCCCCACCATCAGTAGGAGTCCCTCTCTGTGCCATTCTTGCTAAAGAAGGGCTACTCTCCAGAAGCCCCTTATCTGTGGCATTGGGGCCATTCCCACTATGATGCAGGGGAGTGTTTCTAGAAGCTGAGAACTAGAACATTCTATTCCAAATGAACCCCCCCACACACAGGCATCCAGTGAGGCCCCTCTGCACTGCACATATCCTCTCCTAACAAGAGTTTTCTTAAAAATAAGTGCCGACCCCCCCCCACCCAAACCTAGGGTTCAGGGCCCTGATGAGACAGGGATCCAGCCAGGCACCTCAGCATGGGCCGGTCACACCTCCCTACCTGGGCTGGTGCCCCATTCCTAAGTCTTTCCTTCTTTTTAGAGGCCGTCTATACCCTTAGTGTTGTGCCCTTGCTGTAAGAATCTGTGGTTAAACACTGGCCGTAGGCGGGTGTCTCCACAACCTCGGGGACTCAGACTTTCCCTTCTGTGCTGGGTGGGTGCCCCCTGCCCCCACACCTCTTCCTCATCCACACTCCAGACCCGTTTCCCTGCTTTAGCCAACTAGCCTGTTGCTGCTTAGTACCTGAGGACCGAGGAGTCTATGGATTAGAGTTTTGATTCATGGTTTGAATTCAAGTAGGATTTTTGGTTGATCTCCTTTTTAAGTGTCTCCAGACCCATCTTCCCCAAACAAACTAGGTGCTGCACTGAATGGTAAAGCAGTTTCATTACTAACCCAGTTCTACAAATATCAAACAGTGAAGGTCTGATAGGATCCCTTTTAAACTGGGTAGAGCGTGATCGAGCAGTAAACCACAGCGAAGTATTTCAGAGGTTTCCACCCTTACCCTCCTATTCTCAAGTTTATAAAATGATTTGCAAAAAGTCAAGGATTGAGTTTTCCCTTTCTGGACAATTCGAGCCAAATCATGCTTATGAACACTTGCTTTTAAAACGAGACATTAAAAACAGGTGACCTAAGACCCCCTAGCTTATCAATTCCAATTCAGTTCCTCTTGCTTAGGCAACTTGCTGTAGCTTGGAAAAATGGGCTGTGCTCTGGACAAACGGGGCAGGCCACATGCGCAGCACCTTCGCCCAAAGGTGCAAATTTCAGTTGGATGGCTGCTCACACTCCCCCGTTCTAAGAAAATGATTTTGCAGCTAAGGATGGCCCGGAGCTCCAAATGGCAACTTTTCTGATTCAAGGTCATAGCCCAGGAATTTAAGAGGCAATCATTTACTCTTGACTTTCAAAGTGAACCCTGGGCTTGAAAGGCACAGTGGCATCGAAAGCTGATCGGCTAGCGACAACCCTGTGAAGTTCCTTGGGAGGGAGGGCGAGCCGTTCAGACACCTCGCCATCTGGACTCACCACCTAGTGCACTTCCCAGATAGTAAATTTCCTGGCCTGAAAGACTATTTGAAAAGAACTTTTAACCAAAATGTTTTTTTATTAGCTGAAGTACTAAAAAAAGTTTTGATTACTTTGATATGGAACACTACAGCTGTAAGGCTTAACCAACATCTGATCTTCAAGGCAACGTACATTTAAGAAAATAGCAAAATTAAAAAAAAAAAATCTAAGTCCCGGAAACATGGATTTTCAATTACAGTAGACACGAACCTTATTAAATGTACTGCTCTATAGCCTCTCCTTCTACACCAGCAAATCTGATAAATATCAACACTATACTACGCTTGAGATTGAACTGGTTTTGCCACCTGGAAACGTATCACATTTGTCAGTCTACTTAAACAGAAACCAGCTGAACAAAATGATATATGCACACACTCAGACATGCTGAAAACAGTATTTGAAGAACAGCCTCTCATTTTTTACAGTTCAATCTCCAAATTTTCATCTTTTTATTTATTCTCAAGGTCTAGGACACTTAACAATTGGTACACAGAATTCTGAAATAAAACTGCATGTGGCTAGAAAAATATACATCGAAGGCATATATATATGTATATTTCATAAGAAAATAAAACTATGCACAAAATCACTTGTGCTCATTAATGCTGATCCTAACTTGTTTGACTTTTATAATTAAGCACCACCCTAGGAACACAAAGCTTTGAGAGAAAGAGAAAGCAAGCAAGCAACACTCTCTTTAACCCCCTTCCCACCCCAGTATTTCATTGTTCAGTTTTGCCAGAAAGTCCGATCACTCCCTGGTGGGAGAGGGTGTTTAAAATCATCCACAGCTTGGGAGGGTCCTCACAGTTGTGTTGCTGCTCCCAGTGCAGGAGGAGTTCTTCCTTCCTTGGCAGTGTCTGTGTGCACAAGACGCAGTTAAAGCCTGAATGGGACCGAAGTTGGGGGGCGTGGGGGCTGGGACCCGCCCCCGTCTCGCTGGGTCCTGCCTGGGCTCCTTCAGCCTTCCTGAGGATTTCCATATCCTTCTGGGGATGAAGGCAGAGCTGCCTTTTCAGTTTGGGAAATGTGGGGAACTCCTCATCAGGGGGGCCGTGCTTGTTAAGTAGCTTTCTTCTTTCAGGATGCTGTTTCCAGAAAGGAGCAGCGTGTTTCACCAGGTCCTCCTGAGCGCCTCTGCTTCCTGGTAGGATCTCCTCTTGCAGCCGGCCCTGAATTTCCTCTCCATGGATGTAAAGTAAATGAAACTTGATTTCAGCCAAAGACTGAGCAGTGATCTGACAGCGGCCACATTTGATTTGCAACTTGACTTCATCTGCCTGGGTGAGGAGGAGGTCTTCTTCCAGGCTCGACTTGTTTTCCCTGAAAAGGGGGGGAAATAAGCCAATAGAAGATTTCACGAAAACCATAACCGGAGCTTTTCCTCTCGGACACTCGCCTTCAGGGATCCAAAACACCCCCGCTGAGGAGAAGTTCAGGGGGGCGGGGGAAACAGCACCGGGGAAGCAGAAGCCACCAGCCGTCACTCCTGCTTGGGGCCACCCAGTTCTCGAGCTCCCAGCGTCCACTGAGGGAAGGGGTGTTTCCTATCTTGTCTCTCCCCCAGGGGGGCTAACTACTCTTTGGTGACCAACGAGGTGTCATCAACTCAGGAGCCAGGTAGCAGCAAGTGAAGCATGGCAGGGACCCTGCTGGTTCGGCCACACTGTTGCCCTTCCTCACTAACCTTGAGCACGGAAAGCAGTGTGGACATTGTACCTAAAAATCAAAATGCACCACAGAAGACTATGAAGAAGGGGTGGTTTCTTGAGGGAGGCCGCTATATGAGTTAAGGAAAGGCACAGATGTCTGCAAGTGGACAGGAATGCCCGAAGAAAAGCAGAAAAACTATAGAAAAGCCGGGAAGAAACAGGACAGGTGACCCTGACTTTAACGAATGTGACAGAGGAAGACACAACTGGATAGAAAGTATCTGGAACAATTAGGACAATTAAGAATGATGAGGGGCAGAGCATCTAAAGTTAGACAATATTTAATTTTCCTGGTGCGGATGAGAACGGATTTCAGGGAAACTCCCTGTCATCCGGCGGAAAGCGGGCAAACCAAGGGGCACTCCCTGGCGTACCCACCGCTCGCAGCCTACTGGTCCCTGACACCCGAAGCCAGGATCTGCACAGGGGAGCAGTGACCCGGGAAACGTTAATCCGGCCTGACAGGAAAAACTGGGCAAATGTAAAGGGTTGGGTCTGGGCACCTGAGGGTGTAGTCAGTGTGGGGCATGCAGAGTCCCCACCATGGGTCAGACTGTATTCTGGGACAAAGGATGGTGTTTAGATATAAATCTGTGGCCAAAGGTTTGGGGACAGTTACTTTGTAGAGAGCACCGGGAATTATGTGCAGCACTTGACTGCTTCATATTTCAGATGCCAAAATTCTCCCTCACTCTGTTGTCCCCAGCAGACCTGGACCTGGACTTACAGGGGTGAGAGTAATGAAACGCTGTCACTGCTCAGAAACCCAAGAGAAATGAGGTCACCCTTTAGAGAACGAGGAGGAAGAGGCAGCCACCTTAGGAAATCTTCATCTGAGGGATGACACCTCGCCCTGTTCTCCAAATCCCAAGCGCCCTCCCGGCCGGGCCTCCGTCCCATGAGCACTCACCTCTCCACGGATCCCTCCGGCCCTCGCGTGCTCAGGCCCCTGTTCTTCGGCACGTCCCCCGGCGGCCTCTCCCCGGGGGAGGGCTCGGTGCTGATGACGACCCGGTGCACTTCTTTTAGATGGCCAAAGTAGACTCTGACGTGGCCGAACACCTTGGCGCAAAATTCGCAGCACACGAGTTTCTTGAGACGGTTCTCACCGTGGTGGAGTTTCATGTGCGTGCTCAGGCTGCCGGGCCGCACGTACGCCTTGCGACAGATCCGACAACTGTAAGGCCGTCTGTCCGTGTGTGTGTTCATGTGGTCCCGGAGGTGCTGTTTGAACTGGAAGTGGTGGTTGCAGACGTGGCACCGGTGCCAAGGCTTCTTGATGCCGGGGAAGCCATTCCGCAGCACAGAGCTGGGCTTCGCAGAGGCGCCGCCATCCTGCCTCCAGCCCAGATACTTAGGAGTGAGTGAATTACCCAACAGAACGTCCTGTGCCAGGCTGCTGGGTGTGTGGGGCTGTAACGCACCTGCTGGAGAAGCCACGGGAGCCAGAGTGGGCACCACGATCACAGGCTTAGGCATAATGCTGCGGTATTTCTTCAGAGCCCCCGGTTTTTGGTCTCTGGATTCTTGGGGATCGGTTTTCACTCTTTCTTTACTCTCTTTACACTTATTAATGATACACTTCCTCCTTTTCCCCTGAAACGCCAACATTTCCTCCGGTACCTTTCGTTTACGTACTCTTCTCTTTGCCGCCCCGCTGTTCAGTTTTGCTTTGTGGCTGAGATCCAGCCTGGCGGCGGGACAAAAAGCACTCTCGCAGGGACTCTGCTTTGATGACTGCAGAGCAGGTGTCTTGCCAACCATTTTGGTGGCTGCCTGAAAGCCTTCCGTGGTGGAGGAGGTCTGATCACAGGCGGCCCTGAGCCCAGGCAGAGAACCGTTTGCGGTGGTAACCTCTGAGGGACCTCTGCAAACCTCTGCTGTTCTCATTCTGGCATACGGGAGGATCGGCAGTTTACCTTTGGGGACTGGAGAGATGAGCTGAACTGTGTTGCCAAAAACAGCTGGTGATAAAATGGTCATGGCTTTTGCAAGATCGACTTGTTCTTTCAGTTTTCCACTGGCAACGGAAGAAGGCTTACTGCAGGTTTTCCTGGTCGCCAAGTTTGCTTTCCCTGAAGTCTTTGTGAGGTCCTGCTTGGCAGAGGGCTCCTCTGGTGTGGACGGTGTCGGGGCGGCAGGAGGGCTCGGATCTCCACAGTCACTGGCCACCGGAGGTGGAGAGTCTCCGGGGCCACCTTGGTTGGCTGGTGGTGCCGAGCTGATGCCGGCTGGGGCTTGGGCTCGTGACGGCGCCTGCTCCAAGGGGCTGGCTTTGTGCAGGGGTTCGGTATGGTCAGGTGGGGTGGAGGACGTTTGCGTTTGGGCAGGAGGTATGCCACCGCCACTCTCAGAGGAGCTCCGAACCGGTTTCTTTCTTGATCCTCTGTTGTTTCTCGGGGGTTGGTATCGGGGAATAGGCAGTTTAAGATTTTCAGGCAGCGGTAGCCTGGGCTTCTGGACTGGCTGAGCTGAGGCAACGTGTGGCAGAGCGACGAGAGAAAACGTCCCCTCCTGTCCAGCAACCTGCATCAGAGCATAATTTTGGGCAGGCACCCCCAGGGGCTTGGCGTTGGTGGAGGGTCCTGGATTCACCTGCTCGGAGAGTGACGGGGAATGGCATGATAGCAGTCTGGACGTTAGGACTTTGGGCACGATTTTTGGCGCAATGGTCCTAAACTGACTCTTACTCTGCAAACCTTTCCCACTCTGAATCGTTCCAGAAGGGATGTGTGATTCGCCTGCAATGACAATACAATATAAAAAGTCACTCTAGTGTCCCTGTCCTACTGTGGAGAGTTTCCTCACTTGCAGTGCGCTCCCAGGCCCACCCCGGCCCTTCTGGGTGAAATCCTGTGTTCCTCAAGACCCAGCCTTAAAGTCAACTCCTGCCCACCTTCCCAGGGGCTGATTCGTCTCCGCTATGGTTCCAAAGCCCCCAGGATAACACTGACCATTTTCCATAATAATTTATCTGTTTGTGAGTCCCCACCACTCAACACAGAGCTTCTCGAGAGCTGGCCTCTGTCTTTCCCAAACTGTTTTCCACAAGTTCACCTTCTCCATGTACCTAGTTCCGGTTCCTGATCTCCCTTCCTGACCTCCCACGCTGCAAAGACTCTCCTCTGGTATGTTCTGCTGTGCATTTCACTTATTTTAGGGACACGTCTTGTTTTCCTGATTAAGCTGTGAGAGGGGAAAGCCTATATTTAATCCATATCCATATGTCCGACTGTATCTTCAGTGTGAAACAAGCGTTTCTTGTATCAAGCTCATTTCTCTCTCACTTTCAGGACACACCATTTGATCCACGGGCAGTGGGTTGTTTTGCACAGTGGAGGAAGGAATTCCAGACTGAATGCTAGCTTTGTTGCTATTTCCCACGTGACTTGTGAATTTCTTCTCACACCTTTCAAACTGTTTATGTGTGCTTTTGCAATTAAATCACCAGCATTAAAAAGGCTGATGTGACACCTTAAAAAATGCTGAAGAAAAACAAAATGATACAAAATGATAAGACACGGAGACAACATAAAAAATGCATGAATCACATAAAAAGCACCTGCTGGGACACTAATAGGAGTAATTTTAACTGATAACAGTAATACTTCCTACTCCTGGGATGTATTAGGTTAACCAAAGAGCAATTACAACTACTCTAAGAGAATAACTAAGGCAACATTTCAATGCACCGCTTCTAAGAACTGAATCATCTTTTCTTTTATTCCCCTGAGACCTCAAGGTCATCAGGCCTGGCTGTGGAAGAGCTCCCCTTTTCTAAGTGCCTCAGAATAGTCAAACTTCACTCCCACTCACGCTTATGAGGTACCCACGCCACTCTAGGGATTGGCTATGACAGCCCCACATCCCCTTTCTAAAACCTTCAGGGCCAGATGTATTTTGCGATTTACACTTTAAATTTTAGAAAAGTAATAAGATGCATAAACCAACTGTTATGGAAACATCCAGCAGGGTCTGCAGAGCACCCAAATTAAACCTCTTACCATGTCTGTAGTAAAACAAATGAGAGTATTCGCAAAACAATGGGACAGAGGAAGATTTTTTTAAAACTGTCTCACTTGGTTCAGGTTTTGCCTCTGAATGAGTTTTGGTACCCAACTTTTGATAGGATTTTCTCTTTTCTGAGCTTTTGAGATTTCGGAGTTGTGGATAAAGGACCGAAGGGCTGTTCAGGGGATACCAAGGACACAAAGATGAACGGCACAATTTCTGCCTTCAGAAGCTGACAATTAAAACTTTTTAGATCAGCCTAGATTTTAATGTCTACAGTTATCAAAACTAACAATTTTAATAGAAAGCTGTTTCTTCTGGCAAAAATGACACTCCTCACGTAAATAAGTAGGACTGTAGGAATAAGGGTGAAATGTATACTGACCAATTTGTTTTAGAAGGTAATCACTCTTTGGTGACGAAGAAGTATGTTAAAAACACATTTCACGTGGCAGCTTGCATTAGAGGAAGAAGCGAAAAGATGAGCACGATGGTCTGGAAAAACTCAGGCTGGGATAATTGTGTGATCTGTTGGGATCCTTTTTAGCTTTGTTTCCATGAAGTTCATGGGTAAACAAACAGGCCAATCACCTCACAACAGTCTCCCAAATGGGTCTGTCACATTGGCTTCTTCTTCCTACATACTTTGATTTATTTTCTGGTTCTATATTTATGGCTTTTAAATTTAAATGTCTTTCATTTTATGCCTTATCTTCTCATTTTGTGGAAGAAGTACTGAAGTGAGTTGTAAAGAAATATGTTAAATCAGGATTGAGTTTACAAAAAGTTTAATGTTATTGAGAGCTCTTGGTTGCTTAAAGACAAGGCTTATTAAATAATTACATTAGTGATAATAATGGTCTTGGCATCTACACAACAAACTGATGAGGGAGGAAGAGGAAAGAAAACATGGGGTCCTTTAGATCTACTTCATACTCCTAACTGAGCACAGAAGAACTGGAAGAAAGGCTGCTTTGTCCCTCATCAGTCATAAATCCTCTTCAATAACATGTGACAATACTACATCACAGAACAAGACACATTACCTCACTCATTTGCTCAAAATTGTCCAATGGCTCTTTATCTCAGAGCTGGAGCCAAAGTCCTTGCAATGGTGTGAAAGGCCTCATGCCATGCGGCTCCTGGGAACCTCTCTGACCGACTTCCTCCATCGGGTAGCCACCTTGGCTACCCTCCAGCCACGGTGGCCTCTTTGCTCTTCCTTCCAGGTGCCACACACCTGCTTCCTTAGCCTCCGCACTTGCTGGGCTCACTGCCAGGAGGCACCTCTTTCCTCCAGATAAATCCCCAGTACTTGCTGCAGCGTTTCCTTCAAGTCTGGTCAAATGGCTTCTTCCCAAGGTGCTCTTCTCTGACCACCTGAATTGAAACTACCCCCATTCTGAACTCCCTACCCCGTTTCCTATTGTAATTTTCTCCAGCACATTGGCTCCATCTCCCAGATTACATTATGGGCCACTGCCTGAAGTGGATTTCGTGAGGGCAGAGTCTATGTCTCCAGGGTCTAGAAGAGTGTTGGGCGTGTGGCAGAAATGTCATAATTATAATTACTTGTTGAAGTAGTAAGTGGCAATTAAGTGATTCATGGCTGAAATAAAGAATTTACAGATTCAGCTTAGAAAACCGTCTTAAAAAAAAAGGAAGGGAGCCACAGTTTAAAAGCAAACTTTAACTTTTCCAGGTTTTTAAAATTAAAAAAGGAGCGGATCTATGTCCAGAAAAAAAATTTTTTTCAATTTAATTTCACTGCCAGAATAAGAAACTGGGTTAGCATCATGATAAAACCCTTTAATATAAAGGGGATCGGTGAGGCCCGCTGACTAACCATCTGAGGGAGTAAGAGAGAACAGTAAATTATGCTGCTCGGGTACAAGATAACACAGAGCAACAACCAAGCTCTGAAGAAGAAACTGATTTTGAAAAAAACAGACATCCACAGAGGGGTAAAGTGGGGAATGAAGAGAGAAGAAACAACTGGAAATGGAAAAACTGAACCTCAGAGGCAGAGAATGGTGATGTCAACATGAAGAAGACCAGAAATAACAAAGACCAGAAGGTACAGCTGAAGCAACAACCCGTGGTCAAGGTCACTTCAAAGTCTCTAAAGATTTAAGTTGGGAAGGGGCTTCCTATTTTTTATGACCAAGTGTAAGAAAGCAACCTTCTGACAGTGAAGGTTTCCAGAAATGAAACTAGATATACTTTAGAGAGCCATCCAAAAGGGAGCAAGCTAATTATGATGCATTTAAAGTTAATGTGCTTTGATTGATCTTCAGAAGTTTCTACGTTACAGTGGAAATAAAATCACACAGGAAGAACACTGTCATTCAAAGGAAAAGGAGGCCACTGTGATCTGGGAACAGAGGGAAGCCTTTGGCTCTGGCTGGGGTACGTGGCTGCCCCAGCGTGGGAGAACACCGAGCGGTGAGCAGCCCGGGCAGCCTGCAGCGACAGTCCAAGGTACCGTGTACGATGTCTGCCAGACGGAGTCAACTCTCAAGTTTGCTGCAATTCAAAGAAGTGGATCCGGGGGTAGAACCGTTGATAAGTTGCCTTCGTAATCAACAATTACAGGGTAATCACAAGAAATCTGTGGGGTGAAAGATAGGGCCTTACTAGATAAATGTAACCTCATCATGCTGGCCTGGATCTATCAGGAAGTACGGACAAGGGTGAGGGTGTCCAGGAAGGTGGTGTGTTGGCATCCCTTTTCCTAGAACCATTACTGATGGAGTGACACGGAATGGGGTGATGCAGAAGAAGAAACGTAAGGCAGGAGAAAGAGGACAAGGCCCCCAAAGAGAAGAAAAGTAACCCCTAGGAATTACTTAAGTATGTCCAGCAATAGGGACATCATAAAATAACCATCCAACCATCCAGTGTAATGCTATGCAACAGTAAGATAGAAAGGTGAGCTAGATCGATCTGGAATATTCTCCAAGACGTGAGATATATAGTGTGCTATCACTTGGATTAAAAAAAAATAGTGAGGTACACACACAAATATATTTCTGCTATGCACAGAAGATCTCTGAAGGGAAGCAAAAGAAACTGGCCTCAATGGTGGCCTTTGGGCTGGTGGGCACGGGAAACGAAGCAGTCAGGATGGGACACATGCTTCTTTTCCACTGAACACTCCCTGTGCCTGGCACACAGGAGGTGCTCGCCAATATCTGTTGGATGAATGCAAGGAAAATGAAGTTTCCCTTCTGAATGTGTTTTTTAAAACGGGTACCTTTGGGGATAAGTCACAGTGGGTAGGTATGTGTCTGCATAAATGTGTGTCTAGATTACACATAGAGTGTTTTCTGTTTTCCTTGTCTTAAAAGGACACGAATTGCTAACAATGAGGGAAGTAACCTGATAAAATTTGACAGGCCGTGCATAACTGTCCTCCAAAGTTAAACACTGAGAAGTACTAGAGCTCATTACTTCCAAAGGACAATGGAAGTCCTGACAATTGTTCCCGCAAACACTGGGCTCTTTAGGATAAAACGAGGCAATTTGCAATAAAGGTCAGTTATGCTAGAATAACTACAGGGTTTTTTTTTTTTTTTTTTTAAGTAGTTTGAACAATAGGAGTCCTTAGAGAAGCTGAAAATGCCGTTAACTTTTTAAAACTCTAAAACACGAGGACAGCGTGACTGTAGGAAGTCTTTCTTGGCAATGCAGCCACAACAGTGGTTTGCTTCACACGCATTTACAAGGCCTCCCCAGATGGTGTGATCTAAAAACCCTCCCCTGTCACCTACTGAATTATAGATCTCAAAGAACTGTGCACTAAATAATGAGAAGTAGAAATTTCCAGTGACATTCATAATTTCTGGAAATCCTGCAAAATTTCCCATAACACAGTTAAAGAGACTCACAGGACTCTCAGGCACTAAACATGGACTTTTATTAACTGAAAACATAAAAGGCTCACTCAGTAAAATTAATTTTGTGCAATTATACAACGTGAAACTTAATATTAGGATTTTAAATATGGGCTGTTTTTACTACGGTAAGCGTATTAAAAATAACTATTTTGCAAAGTGACATTTACAGTTGTGAAAAGTTGATGGAACTATGGATTAAAGGAAAACATGGAGGTATGGAGTCCTTATTATGGGCTGGGATCTGTGCTAGGTCTTTTCACTGAGCCCTCACACAAATGTTGCAAGTAACTTATTGTCCCCTTTTCACAGATTAAGAAAAATGAGACTTGAGGAAGTTAAGTAATTGCCAAAGTCCACGCCATGCAGATCTGTCCCATTCTGATTTGAAGCAGTGACCTTCCCCTCCTTCATTCTCCCCGCAAAGGGGCTACATTATAAACAAAGTTGTCCTAATTAACTACAAGATATAATGCTATCTCTGGATTTTAAGGAGAGGAAAAAAAAGGGAAACTTGAAAAGGAAATGGCTTGTCATACCCCAAAACTTTGGTTACCATTAAATGAGACTTTCTGAAAGCCCACTCATTAAAGAGAATTCATGAAAAATTAATAGTCATTTGAAGGTTAAAGCAGATTTTTTAAAGTTGAACTTGCCCTTACTATCCACAGGACTCTGACAAGTCCAATAAAGTTGCCAGACCCTACTTGTTTGGAGAAGGTACAATGTGTGTCTCCTCCTACAACACCACCAAAGGACTGGTCTGATGGGCGTCGGTTGCAGGCAGAGACAGCAGAGGGAAGAATGAGGGCTTGATGGTACTAAGTGCCAACATGAGAGCCAGCTTGATCACAGTCTCACAACAAGGCCTAGGCAATACTAAGTAAGAGACAAGCACAAGGGCGGGTGATTCTGTAGATGACTGTAATCATCAACTCCCTCATTTCCCCTGGCAGAACCAAGGCCTGCTCTGTGGCTTGAGTGAAGTTGGTCCCCCTCGTTCCTTCGTTGGTTTGGGTACAGTTCCATTACCCCATCTGTTTGGGACCCCAAGGCCTTCTGCTGAGCATGGAGTGGGGAGTGGGCGGAAAGACGAGAGGCCCAGCTCTTGAAACGGGCTCCCCGGACCTAGGCTCAGAACACAAGTACTGCCAGAGCCTTAGCCACAAAAGAGCCAAAACTTTCAGATGTTGTTTAGGTTTTAATTTTATTAAACTGAAAAACCCTATTTTTAATTTTATTTGCTGGCATCCCTGTTCTCCCTCTCCCATGGCTTTCAAATGATAAATTCCAGCTGGGGTTCAAACTGTTTCCCAAGATGGTCTCTGGTTAAAACAAATATGGTAAAAGCCTGGAGAAGTATGAGACAAAAGAAACAGCTCATAACACAAGGGGGCTCAACTTAATTTTGTTGAAAAACCTATAAACACATTGAGCCATTGCCTACCCTCTCCCCAAGGCACCGCCCAGCCTCTGCAGCAACAGAACCAACAGGAATTTCTTCAGCACTGACTACAGAGTGCACTGTAGAATGTGCTGGCAAAAGGCACAGAGTTGTTTTGTGTCTAAGGACTCAGGATGCCAAATATCATTTCTAGTCCATTTATGTGGAGCACTAAGAGTCCTAGAGTCAGTACATCTAGGACCCAGATTTCAGGCAATCTGATACCATACAAAGGAAATAGGTACTTCCCCAATCGGGTATCTCATATCCAGAGTCCAGTTTGTTCTGCTTGCACACTTCCCTGCTCTGCAGAGCCCCACTCTCTGCTAACGCCTTCTTCCCCCCCGCCCCCCGCCGCCCATAATAACACCCCCAGTGACAGCCAGGCACCCTCCCTGCAGCACAGGCCTGTGAGAGCTGTCCGGCCAGACCGTGAATTCCTTGCCTCGCTTAGCAAGAAAAGCAATGCTTCCTTTCTGAGCACCGGAGTTTCTTTACTTCCTAACACTTATCAAATACTTTACATGCACTGTGTCATTGAATCGCCGCAAAAACCTGAGTTAGAAATTTCTGTTAAGGGGCTCCTGGGTGGTGCAGTTGGTTAAGCGTCTGACTCTTGATTTCAGCTCAGGTCCTGATCTGCTTGAATATTCTCTCCCTCTGCCCTTTTCCCTGCTTGTGCCCACGTGTGTGCTCTCATTGACTCTTAAATAAATAAATAAATCTTTAAAAAAAAAATTACTGCTAAGTACTTTTTATAGATCAAGATTTTGAAGCTGGTTCAGTAATGGTGCTGGAACTCAGACCCTAGCCTGGCGGATATGCTGACTGAGCTCTTACGCATGGTGATGGCCTCTATCGTGGTCACCAGTGAAAACATGGGGTTTGGGGTTCAGACAGATGGGGTTTCAGCTCCTGGCTCTGTGTCGTGGCTTGGGAAAGTCACTCTCTGAGCCTAACTGTCCTCATTTATGAAATGGGCAGAAGAGTATCTTGCTGCAAAGATCACGGTCAGGATTAAATGAAAAAAGTACCCACGAAGGTGCCAGGATAGTGCCTACCACAGTTAGATGCTCAGCAGACATTAGTCTTTCACTTTCTCTTGACAAGAAGTATATGAGGTTCCCGACAGTTATTTTTGGTGGGAAGAAAAAAAAAAAGCACAAATCTTGAATGCTAATCATATGGAAATAGTACTGAATCCTTAAACTTATGGTTTTTTTTGAGAGGTAAATAAAGGAAAGAGGGAAGGAATGGCTATGATTTGTGAATAATGGTCCCAATAATACTGTAAAGCATTTTTTCTTTCACGTGGCTCTCGGCTCTCCAGCCACCTCTTTTGGCAGCTCGACCTTCCCCACATCTCACCTGTCCAATCACCCCCTCTTCCTCCCTGCCCCCAAGTTTTCCATCCCAGTTGACAAAGTGCTAATCAGATGAACAATTGTAGTGAATGGGAGTAAACATATGTGCATTTTAAAGAGCTGTTCTACTGGGGACACTCTTCCCTGCTTTTGTTTCTATTGAGTATAGACGCCAATCATTGTTCTCAACCCTGGCCAGGAAGAAAGCCACTCCCCTGGTAGTAGACCTTTCAGGGGTGGGGCTGAGCCCAGGTCTCAGTGGCCCTGGGAGGGAAGGGGCCTAGAGCAGAACTAGGGATGCTGGGCACACCTCTGCAGGACCCTGAGAGCAACAGCCTTTGTGATTTTGCATTTCAGGAGGGAAAATATCCTCTCACAGAGGACAGGGACAGGTCAACTGCAATTTTGAAAGCACTTTCTTGAAGATTTCAGTGTTTTGGTGATGGAATCATTAAGAAAAAAGTTAAAAATAGCTTAAGAAAAGATGGAAAGAAAAGGTGGGCGCCGTAAGAGGAGCACCTAAAATCGAATAAATTAGACGTGTAAATGTATCGGGAAGCAAGAGGAAACAAGCGTTCTTTATGGAAGAATTTAAAAGCCAATTACCTAAAATGTTAATGGCAATAAAAGGAAAACTAATACAACAGGGTTTGTTAAGTTCAAGTAACTAATTAATCTTTTTGGACCGCATAATTCATGTCCCAAATGAAAAGAAAATGTAAAAAGCTTTATCATTTTAAAATACATTTTAATAATCCTCCATTTCAATGAATTTCTCCTTCATTTTAATTATCAGTCCTTATTTCTGGGAGGAATTTTTGATTTCAAGCACTTCTGATGAAAAGCAGTTGAGAACTATATGAAATCTTTTAATTTTTAATACATTGAGAAAGATAAAGTTATTAATCTTTTTGGCCAAAAAAACCGTAACATGCACAAGATTTTATTCATTATTACAAAACAGTCAATTTTGTATCTTCAGTGGGTAGCATGAAAATGTAACTAAAAGCTTATGATCTATGGGGGACACAAAGCAAGACAAATAGAAACTTTTGAAATGCTTTATTAATCCCATTCTCCCATTCTTCTTATTTTTTCTTTTTTTAAGTATTTATTTATTTGACAGAGAGAGAGAGAGAGAGTGAGAGAGCACAAGCAGGGGAACAGCAGAGGGAGAGGGAGAAGCAGGTTCCCGCTGGGCAGGGAGCCCGATGGCAGGGCTTGATCCTAGGACCCTGGGATCATGACCTGAGCCGAAGGCAGTCGCTTAACCGACCGAGCCACCCAGGCGCCCCATCTCCCATTCTTCTTCTTATTGTTAATATTAACTGTAATTATAAAGATTCAGTTGGGTCACATAGTTGAAAATCAGAAGACCTTGATAACAACTTCTTCCAGGTAAAGACATTTGATGTCCTACCCTTCCTAGCAAACATCTGTGCACACTGTCTTTCCAGGAGATTCTGGCATTTTCTGAGTCAGTTGGTTTTTCAACACAATGGATGGGCAAGGAAACATCTGCAGAAGAGCTTTTAAGCCACACGGATATCTCATGGCAAGAACTCTTCCACCAACAAATTAAGAACGGGCCCCTTCTTTTTAATCTTATATTTTAATATCAGTTGGAACGGTTAAGTATCTGGGATGAGTAACAAGATGACAGTTGGTGAAGAAAACCTTTTCCTTAGTGGGATAAACAGAAAGATACGGTTTCAACATGAGAATGTGCAGTCAGTTGGAACAATTAAACCAGGACACATGCAGAAGGCTCTGGCCTTTGGTCAAAATACCATGATTATGAAACCAAAGCAGAAAAGATCACAGTATGGTTAAAAGCAAGGGACTGGAATCACAAAGATAGTTTTATACTGTGCTTTCAAGGGTAGATTTACTTTACAGAATGGGCATTTTTAAGGAGCATGCAAACTGTAACCATTCCACTGTTTTATAGTACAGTTTTACAGATGTTTTGTTTTCACTTCTGATTTATCTTCAACTCGCAGTGATTTATAACCCTTTTTGCTGCAAGTTTTTCTCTACCTCAGCTTTTATGTCAAATAGTTCATGATTTGTAAGTGCAAATGCACAGGACTGTGTATTCCTTTGTCATGTGGATTATTACTCCCTAAAACTCCTGTTTGGTAAGTCTTGACTGTTAATTATTTCTTAGTGAAGACACACCTTGATTAATATAGAGAGATCACCTAGAATATGGACACACTGAAAAAAATAGAGAAAGACAGTAAGGCAGCAGGTGCCCACTGGTACTGAGGTAACTGCGTGAGCGGTGGTTACCTTTGTGAAACGGACCAGATTGGTTGTGTAGGAGTTAACTGGTAAATACAGACTCTGAGATGCAGCTGAGGTAATCAGATGTTGACCTGAGCTACTACAGAGAGCGAACTCATCAGAGCCAGAAAGCTGTGGAACCACTCTGGGATCTTTTCCTTGTGAATTCTGCCCGGCTTCTCCTCTATCAACACCTTTATTGTTATTTGGATGGCAATGACAAAGTCTGGTTGAAGGAACATGTACTCTCATCTACACGTCAGAAACATGTCAGAGTTAGCTCTCCATCTTCCCTGAAGACATGCAGTGAATTATGCAGTCCACCTGTATTCCCTTCTTCTCAAGGCTCTGCACATTTATATGTGTGTGTACATAGGCAGATGACCCCTGGTTCTGGAACTGGCCTAATGGCTGACCATCCGTGGACCCTGACAGCATATGCTGGGTTCACCCCACTGCTATCTCTCTACAGCACCTACCCTACCTGGTCCCACACTGTGCTCTCCACTCCCACTGCTTGCTGCCTAGTGCTGAGAAATCCAACTACTGTGAACACTGGAGAACATTACAAATTTAAAGTTCTCAGTGTCGAACTGCAGACCTATTCCACAATCTGTCTTAGGGAAGAGACTCCCTTCAGTTCCTCACTGGGGCTAGCTCAGGTTTCTCCCATTGCTTTTCTGAAGCACTCCCTCTCTCCCCTGCCCCCACCTTATCCCCGTGTCTCTCTCTCTCTCGCCAATGATTTTTGGCATTGACTTTGCAATGGATGAAATGTTTGTGTTCCCCCAAAATTCGTATGTTGAAATCCTAATGCCCCAGCGTAATGGTATTAAAAGGTGGAGCCACTGGAAGATAATTAGGTCATGAGGGTAGAACCCTTATGAACAGGATTAATGTCTTCATAAAAGAGATCCCACAGAACTCTCTTGCCTTCTTTCTGCCACGTGAGAATACAATGAAAAGATTGTATGCAACCCAGAAGAGGGCTCTGAAGGGGAGCAGAATACATGACACCACATATGCTACTCTGGCACGTGGATTATTTTGAGTGAAGGCAATCAAGACCCAGAAGACTCAAGAAAAACTTTTAGCTCTTCCTAACTACCTAAAAGAATTTTGCTAGGCGGCCTGGCTCAGAGAGAGGGCTATTACCAAAGATAATTTTTATCTGAATAACCTATCTGTATGACAGGACAAACATCTAATTACCAAACATCTGCTCTTCTTATCATCCTATGAATTACCCTCCTCCTCTTTGGAGCCCCAGGCCTCTATCCCATTCCTTAGCTCAGGATGGCCTATAAACCTCAATTGCCCAACTTGTCTTTGGGTCACACTGTTTTTGTGGGGCCTCCATTCAGACATAATTAAATTTGTTTTTCTCTTGTCCTATGTTAATTTTATTATTAGGTCAGCCAAAGAACCAAAAAGGGTAGAGGAAAAATTTTTCCTCCACGACAGTGGTCCCCAGAATCTGACCATGCTGGCACCCTGATCTTGTACTTTCAGCCTCCAGAATTGTGAGATATAGATTTCTCTTGTTTATAAGCCACTTATTCTATGGTACTTTGCTATAGCAGCCTGGAGAGACTAAGACCTTGTGGACAAAGAGAAGTCATCAAGTAGAAACTCATTTACTGTTCCTTCTTTCTATTTCTAAATTCTTATATGTAATTAAACAACACAAATAAATTTACCTATTCTGGGGTGAGGGGAAAGGAGAGAGAAGTACTGTTACTCTAAACATATAATTCATCTACCTCAAGTCCTAAGACATTAAGATATGAAAAAATGTGCATTTTAGAATAAGGAAATAGGAGTATTTCCAACCCTGTTCTGCACCCCACGCTTCTCTCCAGGCCCCTTGTGATGCCTCAGGGATCCTCTACCATCGGTGAGCTCCCAGTGTTCCCTGACCATCCTATCTAGAAGTACCTGCTCAGCCCCATGAGATCACCTGCTGTTTCTTTCTCTACTCTAACTGTCCTTCATTATAACGTTACTATATTATGTCTCCTCCTGCTAGAATATAAGCTCCAAGCAAGCAGGAGCTTATTTTGTTCACTGCCAAGACCTCGGTCCCCGGATCAGTATCTGGTACACAGCCATTGTAGAATATGTTATTCACCAAATGAGTGAACTATTAACTCTCAACTGTACTGTCTTGCTTTCTCCTTTGCTTTTGCCGAACACAAAAATATAAAATCCAAAACCCCAATAAAGAGTATTTGGGCTCTCTCTATCTTCTCTTCAAGCTACTGGCCTATCTCCTTTCTTTTCTTCATGAGAAAATTTAATAGTAGTTAGTGTACATGGTCCCTGTCTCTACTCATCAACTTCTATTCATCTCTCAATCCCCTATCCCCTTAAATTCCATTGTGCAGGGGCACCTGGGTGGCTCAGTCATTAAGCGTCTGCCTTCAGCTCAGGTCATGATCCCAGGGTCCTGGGATCGAACCCCACATCGGTCTCCTTGCTCAGCGGGGAGCATGCTTCTCCCTCTCCCACTCCCCCTGCTTGTGTTCCTGCTCTCGCTATCTCTCTCTCTGTCAAATAAATAAAATCTTAAAAAAAAAAATTCCATTGTGTAGTACTAACATGTCCTTCTGTCAGGAGTCAGATTAGGTGCTTAATCGATTGTATCTCACTTAATCCTCCATCAACTCTCAATATTAACAACTCTAGTCTACAGACACAGAAACTGAGTATTTCTTGTAAGGGCACAAGGCTGGTAAGTGAGAGTTCGATTTGAACCCAGGTCTGTCCGGCACCAAAACTGTTACATTCCAACACTGAACTTATTACTAAGGTGTTTTGTAATTTATCTATTCGCCTGTCAGTCTCCTCTGGTGGCTGGTGAGTGCCACATAATAGGAATCCATAGCATCGTTGCTGGAGAGACAGTTAATACACAGAGTGATTCCCTTCAGTCCTGGCCACTCTTGCCTGGGTGGCCTTCTTTTGCAATGCTTCTGGCGAGCAAATTAGGCTCATACCAAAATGTAATTTTTTTAAAGCAACAATTACACAACAAGTACTAACTTAAAGTAGTTTTTTATGATATGCAAAAATGAAGAAAAAAATCATTACAAAGGTCTTTTATAATTTTAGAGATAATATAGGTTTTCTAATCCTATACCACCTGCCTTTGAAATGGAAGTCATTGAAGAACATTGGGACTGAATAAAAACGTCTAAAAATGCTGAATTTCTGAATTCCTCATGTGGCAAGTCCTGCCCCTTTAATAAACTTGATCAAACATCAGTGCTGTGGCCTATAGTTTGGATCTGTGGGATTCTCCTTTTTTGGTGGGGCAGGGGGAGAGGAAGTTCCTCAGGGAAAAGCAAACAAATTACATCACACATAAGAAGGAGGGCAGAGGTCTGGCTTTGGTTCTTCCTTTTGCTACTGGAATGGGTCTGAGCAAGATAATAATCCTTAATGGCCTTTAGTTGCTTCCTTTAATGAGAAAGGATTACACTGGATCATTGCTTCTCAAAGTGTGGTCTGCCAACCCTGGGAAGGGTCCCAACACTGTCTTCTCATACTAATAACAAGATGCCATTTGCCTTTTCCAATGCATTGACCTTTGCATCTGTTGCACTGATGGGACAAAAGGGAGCACTGGGTCAAACTGCTCTGGCGCCTTAGCCTGAATTTAGGTAATGAGAGCAAACTGTCCGCACGGCCATATTGTTCACCAACACACTCTCTCAGCACTACAACACAGAGTTTAGACTCATGGAACCTTCTGCTGCATGCCGAAGGATGACTTGAGGAAAAGCACTTGTGCCCCTGAGTTGTGAAGCTGAACTAGCGGCTTTCGTCATGGAACACCACTTCTACTTGAAACTACATCTGACAGACACATGCTGAAAGAGCATGGTCGAACTTAGGTATCTGGCAGACATTTTCTCAAAAGTGAACTAACAGAGCTTGTCACTACAAGAAAAAACATCTGACAGTAACTGTTGGCAGTCATAAAAATCATCCTTAAAAGCAGCAGAATTTCGGAAAACATGAATCCATCACTGGGAGCTTGAAGCTTCCCAGTACTCAATGATTTTTGAGATGAGACTGGTGGTTACATTAACAAAGAGGATCTTTCAAATACTGAATAAAATTATGTATAGAAGATCTGCAAACTCAATGAACTTTTTTCCCCCCTCAAATAACCAATACCTGATGTTACATGGATGGGTAAAAGACTCACTCAAGTGTAAGACAGACCAAAAGGTAGCAGAATACAAGAAGCACCGTGA